AGAATTATTTTGGTCACAAAAGGGATCAAAGGAAATTTAAGAAGCCAAAGAGTGGGGCTGTTTTGTTTATAGAAAACATGATCATTTTACTAGGGATTACAGATTTAAGAAAAATCAAAAACCGAAAGTCAACTCCGTTAAGGGAGATGATAATATAATTGCTATGGTGAGCAAAGTGAATGTCATATTTGCCAAGATTTCTGGTTGGTGGTATGATACTTGTGCTACCGTCTATGTTTATTATGATAAGACACTCTTTAAGACTTACAAAGAAGTCACAAAAGAGTAAGAGACATGATATAGCATTTGTAGTTAGTAAATTGAATAGATTTGCTAGCAATCCAAACATAGAGCATTAGAAAACTATTAAAAGAGTTCTTGGGTATCTTAAATGGACTAAAGATTATAACCTACAATACTCCAAATTTTTTACTATTTTAGAAGAATATACTGACACAAGTTGGATACCGAGTTTCGAAAATAACAAATCCACTATCGATTGGGTGTTCACCTTGGGAGGTAGTCTTATTTATTGGAAGAACAAAAAATAAACGTGTATAACTCACTCAATTATGAAATTGAAATTTGTTGCTCTAGCAGAAGCAAGAAAAGAGGCTGAATGGTTGAGAGACTTTCTATTATAAATTTCATTGACTTCTAAGGTTGATAGTGAAATATATAATAGAAAGTCAAGATACATAAGTCTTAGGCACGATTATGTAAGGAAATTAATTAAGAATGAGATTATTTCACTCACATTTGTGAAAACAAGTGAGAATTAGGTTGATCCGTTCATCAGACCTCTTATAAGAGAAGTTGTAAGATCAATATCAAAATGGATAGGCCTAAAACTCCTTAAATAAAAGATTCATCAATGATAGTAACCCTATTCAATATTATGAAATGTGGAATAAAGATTTCAAAGGGTAAGAACAAGTCATTAACATATGAAGTGGTTTGAAATATTTTATGAGTCACATTTAAAGATGTTAAAGTACTGGTTGTCACCGAATTAGTGTTGAGTTAATTATACTCTTAATGAAATTTAGTCAAGTTAGGACAAGTATCTCAAATAGTGATAAAGATACTATAAGTACTTCACATATATGAACTTAGAAGTAATGCCGCTTTGATTGAGAGTTAAAGTTTATCTCATAAAAGTTGATGAACTTGGATGAGCCCAATGCCATATTAGGGTTGAGTGAGAATTTACGAGGAATACAAGGATATTGTATTTATATGTTTGGTATTACTAATGTTATTAGGAATAACAAATTCAAAGCTTTTATACTATTTGGGATTTTGAATTCACTTTGTAATTCTTACACTAAGGTGATATTAAAATCGAAAGATATATTATTTTATTCATAAATATTATTTAATCAATTAGAGAAAATTTTAAATTTGAATAAGCGGGGATTATTATGAATTGTTCAAATTAAAAAAAAATATTTCTTTTCAAAAGATTTATGAACAATTCAAAAAAAAGATTTCTTTTCAAAAGATTTATTTGGAAAGGTGGTTTTCTTTGTAGTTATTTTGGTAGTTATTTTTTAACCTTTTGTGAAAATATCTATAAATAGGTATTTGAGAGTAAATTTAAAAAATATCTTTTTCATATTTTCCTCTTTCTTTATAACTCTAAATTGAATTAGACATTCTCTGATTCCTTTTTAAATATTCTTTATTATTTACTCAATATAGATCTTCTAAAGGTTTCTCAGATTCACTAAAACTATTTAAATATCATTTTTAGGATAACGTTTATAGTATTCTTGATTATTTGTTTCTATAGTATTTTCATCCTCTTCTTTATTATATTTTTTTAATATTCACTAGTTTCAAATCGGATCACAATCGACCGTAAGCGATTTGGTTCCAATTCCAAAAGTCAGTTTCGATTATTTTAATTTCAAATCAGTTAAATATAATAAAAAATAAAAAAATAAAATATGATATAGTGGTTAAATATTTACTTAGGTTCAAAGCTACTTTGATAGAATTATTTAGTTTGATTAAAATTTTATAATTTTACTCTTTTTTAATCAATTTTCAAAGTTTCAATTTAAAAAAATAAAATCAATAAGTTTCCATGTTCTAAATTATTTTAAATTTAAAAATAATAAAATATTAATGGTTTTGACTAAAACCAAAATTGCTCGAACTGGAACCAAGAACCAATGGTTTCGGTTCCAAAATCGAACATCGATGAGTCCCCATGAATAATGGGGTGGTGGATAGTGAGACAACTAAGATTATGGATGAAATAAGGAATTGTGAGAATAAAGGTATAATCGATAACTAAAGAATTGTGAATAGTAAATAAATATATATTATTATTTTTATAAGGATTAGCAACATTATCGGGTTAAATTATTCTGATGAGTTATATGCTTTGTTAAGCAATTTCTTAAATTAGTCGAGCACGAATATGTAATGTGTTTTAGGAATTTTCTTGAAAATGTCGAAACATATTTTAATAAGTTAAATTTAAATTTTGTTACGATTATTAGTGGAATTGCAATTTACTTTGTTTCCCATCCTCGGTTTATAAAATACTGATTTTGAACCTTGTTTCAAATTTACTATGATTTACTCTTTGTCAATAATATGACATAACTCACATTGTTTTCATTGCATACAATGTGTACTAAGCTAATGTATGTAACATATTTTGTCAAAACCAAATAAATATATCATTACTTCAAAAGTTTGTATTCGTGGAACATGCGATTTTATGATCTTTGATGTATTAATATTATGATCTTGAAGATAAGGGCTCAATTTATATTGTTTTAATCAAGCTTTTTATCTGTAAACCATGATCGATATTTTAGCTATCAATTTTCGAATCGTTAAATCCAATCTTTTATCTTTCGAGTTCTAATATCATTTAATCACTAATAGAAATCTAGACTTTCTTTAAGGGTTTCTCAAATATATATATACGTGTCTATATATAGGGGGGTTTTAGAAGACGAAACAAAGCCCTAGCCGATGTTGGTGTCGCCGCCGCTGCGGACTTCGCTGGCTCCTCCCTGTTGGTGCCCGAGGCCGCCACCTCTTCTCTTCCGCTATCGCAGGGTATGCTACATTTGTCCGGTACACTTTTCTCCTCTCATCCTCTCTCGTGTTCTCTCTTCTTACTTTCCTCCCCTTTCTTCTGCTCCGCTCGCATCCCTTCTCCTCTCCTCCTATATCCTTCCGGCTCCTGTTCTCTCTTATCCTTCCCTTTCCTGTCATTTCCTCTTTCTCCCCACTCTTATGGTCTCCCTCCTAAACGACTAATTAATTGCGGTCTTTATATGCTGTTTATGATTATAACAATAGGACACGTAATAGCTGTTGTCACCATCTAAATTTTTGCCCGTAAGAATGGCTATATGAGCTCTGAGATTGAAGATGCAAGTGCTCTATACTGCGAGTTTTCTTTACATGAGCTCATTTTATTCTCTCACGGAAGGGCGAATCAGAAGCATACGTTTAAGGACTAAAATAAGAACTGTATTGTACGACGGCTTTTTTTTTTAATGCAAAAACACAAGAAGCAAATTTTTGCCGAAGGTTAAAGAAAAAAGACAAAGTACTTAACCTACATTTCTTCTTCTTGTTTTCTTTTTCTAGAGTTCCTAAAGACATGTCATTGAGGGACGAAGGAATTCGAAGAACACATGCAGAATAGACCGAAGGATTTCCTCCTCAATGGATTGCTCAACACCTGAAATTATTTTCTTCTAAGTACAATTTTTTTAAAATACATCTGGTAAAGCTATAACTATTTTAATTCTAAAAGGTTGTTTGGAGACCAATGTAGACGTTCATCTTCAGCAGAAGCTGCTAATTCCAATCCGAAATTCCTATTAATTTTAAGGTCTATGGAAGTGAAAAAGAGAATTTTCTTTCATCCAATGATTTGTCATTCGCTAGGATTTGTTTAGCACTCTCTTGCATAAATACAATCTCTAAATTGATAATTTAATGAAAATACAATTATTAACTTAAGAACATATGCAAATTACAAATATTAACAAAGAAATTATTTATAAATTTGTAGAAATATATGAATATATTATAAATTAATTTTGTATACGAATCTCATGATTTGAGTTTGTGTTTGCTTTATGATCCTAGTTAGGATAGCAAGTTTGACAACCATGATTTATCCTTTATCGTTTTATCTTTTTGGTCATTGCAATTTCTAAGGCTGGTCACTGGAGACTATTTACAATCTGTAATCAAGGATAACAGAAACTCCGTGGAACTTGACCTTTTCTTTTTGGCAAAGCATTAGTGGTGTGGACAAGATAGGATCCCAAGATCTTGTTATCGGTTTTCAAAGCCTTTACCAGCATATTTAGTTGCTATCTTCGACAAAATTTATTTGATGAAGTTTTGAATCCTCAATCTTGATAAGTATGTCGAGCTTTTGAATTTGAAACCTTGGGTAAGGAGGTTTGGTACATCACTATCAGACTATTGTTTTAGAAAGATCTTAGGTGGAAAATTTATCGGACAAGGTCAGGAATTCTCAACCTTTAGTAAGTGGGACTACTACACCACCATTGAACTAATGTTTTGAACCCTTAGTTCTCAATTTGACTAATTTTGTTTTTGAATGGTTCCTATTAGTCTCAAGAAAAGTAGCTCTTTCTGTCTCTCTCATGCTCAGTCACCATTAATCAATTATTACTTTGTTTGTTGATGATGACTTCTCCATTGTAAATGAACTTGTAAACTGATATATTTTTTGTAATCCTTGTTTCTCATATGAAAATGATACCAGACATGGTTTGCACACAAGTAAAGTTTTACAAATTGTCATATGACAATAATACCAGACATGGTTTGCAAACGAGTAAAGTTTTACAAATTGTCATATCTTACATATGGTCTTTATTGCTCAGAACAACTATGGTATGCATCTTTATTTTTTCTAAGCTAAGCATGTTGTCCCATTTACAGAATTCCCACGTATGAACTTAATGGTAAGAAAGTCTCTGATGAACTGCATTCCCTACATATTTTCCGCAGCTCTTTTTCCACAAAATAGTCATTGCATGATGTGGAGTTCCTTATCTGGCTTTAGTAGTACATCGTGGAGAGGATTTTCACGTGGTAGCTCTAAAGTTTGTAAGCTGGATTTTGTCTTGACGGGATTTCATTTTCATTGCTTTTCTACTCGCCGCTCGCGGACTCGTCCGTTGCCAATGGAAGATTCCCAGCCATCAATGGTGGAAGAAAGTAATGCATTTTATGTTGTTCGGAAAGGGGACATTGTTGGTATCTACAAAAGTTTAAGTGATTGTCAAGCTCAAGTTAGCGTGTCGGTATGTCATATTTATAATTACTTCTGATTGACATTATGTTACTTCTCCAGTTTAATTTATTAACTAACAAGCCATATTATGACTAAAATTTTCATTTTGACATACATTCAGACATGATCTTATACAAGAAATTTTATGCTTTACAAGTCCTCTGATGAAATTGACTGGTTGGTCTTTTGGAGAACCTCTATGCCTGCTGAATTACTTAGCATCTAAACTAAACTAAACTAAAAACAGGGGTGCAGATGGTTTATAGTTGTGATTTTAAGTTCCATTCACCATAGAAGAGTAAATCCCATTATTTTTAGCTGTTTGTTCTCTTATATAGAGGCAACCTAAGTTTATTTCTGCTCATAGATAAAATTGAATTTTTATTTAATATTGCCACTAAAACTTGAGAAAATCGGGGTTAAAAAAATTAAGGAAATCGACTTTCTCTACTCTGATAGAGAAATGTACTGATGCTTCATTTTTAGTGGAAGCTTATAGAAAAACTCTTGTTTATTTTACCATTTTCTTAAACCCTTTGTCCTGGTTGCTTCCTCAACATCATACCCTCAGGATTGTTGAAGTCCATGTTGTACTTACTGTTCTCCCATCATTTGCAGTGTCAGAGCTGTTAGTTTTATCCTGTTCAACTTTCTCCCCTTCATTAGTAATCTAAAAACTCTTTGCATCTAATAAGCTCGTGTGTTGTTGCCAAGCTCAAATTATGTCTTCAGTAGTTAAATGAAAATTTCATTTCGATTTTATATTATTAAAGAATTCTCATATTTTATGTAATATTGCAATTGCATTGGTTGTTTGATCTGTTAGTGAATTCTATACACATTAAACTGGATATGTCATGTTAAATATGCAAGCTGAGAATACATATGTGATAATACTGTGTATGACAGTTTCATCTTCAAATTTGTGCCTTTGATGAGACAAGAGCTTAATCTGTCACATTCAGAAGTTGTTGCAAGGACTATTTGTTTCCACTTTTCACAAATTAATTCAATGGTTGGCAACAAAATATTTTAGAACCATTGCTGCACTGAGATTTGCAATATTGATTTGTATTGATGTACCGATCAATGGTTGGTATGGTACGTACTAAGGCGTATCGATGGTACATTAAAAAAAAAATCAAAAATAGTTCCAAAAATAACCTGAAAAATAAAAAAGGTAGATTAGGATTTTTAAGTTAGAAATAAATATAATTTTAGTATAATTTTGACGAAAATAATCTAAATTATGAAAGGATAGTGATACATCTTTTTTGGATTTTGAGAAGTAACTTTGTTGTACATTCTGAACTGTCCTTTCGTTAATATTGAATTATCTACAAAGAATGATTTGAATTGTTAGATATGAGTTAGAATGCATTTGAGAGAGTTGAAGAGATTGAGAGAGTGATATGAGTTGAAAGAGGGGGAGGAAAGGGTTTAAAAATCCGTTCCTATGGTTCAAACGGTCAATTTCGATTGTTATCGCCCTTGATCGGGAACGATCGGGAACGATCGAAATCCGATCGTTATCGTACAGTATAGGTCGGTAACGGTCAAATTTCGATTGTTATCACCCGGTACAGGTCGGTAACGGTTGGATTTCGATCGTTACCATCTGGTACATACCTTGTATCACTCGATAGAGGGCGGTCCATATATTGGTCTCTTGTCGGACTGATATGTATCGCCTGTATTGAGTGGTATGGGTTGGTATTGCAAACCTTGGCTAGCACAATCCGTAAGTGTTATCAAACATCAAGAACCATTGAGTAGAAGTGGTATTTTAATCTGTCTAGCGACACTAATCTATCTTGGTTCAAGTTGATGAACATTGGTTCTGGTAATGGTTTCTGATTCTGCTATTTTATCTGGCGTATCATCAAATATTTAATATCATGCCTTGTTGCTATAATAAGTGGAATAATGAAAGCTTTCTTATTGCTATTTGAATGTATAAAAGCCTGGTTACTGTAACGGTCCATGTTATGATGTTTGTTATTTCAAAATGGTGAAATGATGAGTTTTATTTTAAACACATAAGTTCCTTTATATATATTCATCTTGCTTATAGGCTGCTCTACTATTTATAAAGATGTTTACGATCAATCCTCATATTAGCAATTTAATTTCATTTGATGAACTTAATTATTTAGGTGTGTGGTCCTCCTGTCAGTGTATACAAAGGTTATGGTTTACGTAAAGAAACAGAGGAGTATCTTGCTTCCCGTGGACTAAAAAATCCTTTATACAGTGTCAACGCATCAGACGTGAAAGAGGATTTGTTTGGAGCCCTGTTGCCTTGTCCTTTTCAGGTAAGATAATAGTACATTTAATTTTTATTATTATATTAAGGAATTCAAGACAGTATAAAACTTCTGCAGTAATATATTCTTGGAAAGCCCTTATTTGTGTAGAATCTACCAGTCTTTAAAATTGTGCAACTTGTCTTATTTGGATATGAGACCTTATGTTCTACATATGTTGTATTTCTGCTAAAAAATAGTTGATGACAATTTAGGAAAGATTTTAAAGCACAAATTAGATGTAGTTATCATTTTCATCTCTGCATGTTCTCCTTTTGGTTTTGTTAAATCCATTCAAGTCATACTTAAGGCAATTATGTTTAGGCCTAAGAAGATGGCATTTTGTTGTACATGGTCATCAAGAAAATGAAACTAACAAATAAAAGCAACTATATTAAAGTGGAAAAACTAAATATGATGCTTATTGTGGATATATCAATTGGATTTTTTTTTTCTCTTTTCTGAATCTGGATGTGTTCCATCTGTGACTGACACATAAAATGGTCATCTGTGTCATTGTGTTGTGAATACTAGGTGACTTCTTGTTATGTTCATCTTGCTAATGTATGATTGGGTTGTGAATACTAGGTGACTTCTTGTTATGTTCATCTTGATAATGTATGATTGGGTTGTAATTAAAGATGAACCTTGGTGATTTATAAACTCGAGTCTGTTAATCCCATATTTCTTCAATAAACTTGTTTGTAATTGGCAAATTTAACATGTTTTTGTTGCTTCCAGCAACCAGATGGACTTGCTGATATATTGCCTAAAAAGGTGTCTTCACTGAAAAGAACAAAGGATATGGTACTGCTAATATTCTGTCAATTACTTTGTTTATGTTACTCTGATGTGCACTTTTGCGAACTTCAAAATTTTGACTTGTCTGTCGATAATAATATGCTATGTAAATTCTCTCTCTGTTTTTTAATCGTAAGTTTTCTATATGTTTTTGTCACTGGTGTTGCTTGCTTACCCATTTACTTTGCCTTTAACATTCTCATTGTATTTCTTTCTTTTTCATTTTAATATTAATTGATTAAGATCCACCTCAATGGATTTGATCATGGAATGATAATTGGGTGAAAAAAAATTTACTGAAAGCAACACATCGTCTGGTATGATGTCAGCAAGGCTTCAGGTTTGGGATTTTAGTCTTTTTATGTAAAACTTTTGGCCGACCATTTTTTCCCTAATGCACAGATGATCTTTTTGAAGTAGCATCCAGAAGAGTGAAGTTGATTGTTTAAGTGATTAGAAAGATTATAAAGCAGATCACTCGAAAGTTCTCTGGCAAGCGTGATTCATCAAATTCAGAGTTCATAATATGCTAAAAGTAAAAAAATATAATTTTTAGAAATATTGAAATCTTTTTTGATCATGAT